CAAGTGTACCTGTGCGCATATATACATATATATATAATGCGTTTATATATATATACACGTATAATGCACAATCACACACACACACACAGACTCTCCCTCGCTTCCTCCACCGCTTTCGGGTCATGGATTCCCCCAGCCGTATCTCTCCAGCACACTCCATACTTGGAGGAGTGTTGCAAGCTTGTGGCTCAAGCTCAGGCCTACTGATTCGAGCGAATTCTGGCACCAACACAGCTACAGACTACATCATATCTCCACTCTTCATCTTGCTTGCTTGCTAGGGGTATGGGGGGAAACACGCCGGCCATGCGGCCAACCTCGTCAGTCAAGGTCACCGCCGTATTAGGGCTTGGTCTGTGCCGTTCCCTTTCCTCCAGCCAACTGCAAACCGGTAAACAAATTGTTCAATCCTCTTCTTCTTCTCCTCTCTCTTTCTTGCTTGCACTCGGACAGAAGGGGTAGCCCGCCCCCCCGCGCGCAGGCGCGCACTCTCTCTGTCTCTCTCTCTCTCTCTCTCTTTCTTTCTTTCGCCAGGGCTATGGTGTAGAGGTTTCCCTCTACACCGCGCGCGTCAGCGCCCCCGACTGTTGGGGGGAGAGTAGGTTGCAACCACATGCCCGCGGCACCTAGTGCCTTTGTTAAGCGCTGCTTCCCTCGGCGACTGCAATCGGAAAAAGGGCACAAGCGATGACGAGGGTAGCATGTGGGCAGGGGCAAGAGGTTCAGCCGTGGGAAGGGGGGGTATTCCCCTCTCGCTTGGGCATTCGAATTCACATTGGGCCTTACTTTTCGTTGACGTGCCATGTGAACTTGTTCATGAACAACCCCGGAAGGAAAAAGACTAACCCAATGTCCAAAGAGAGCTGCTGGCACATCGACAGTCAGGGGCGTCCCCCTAGCCGAAAGAAAAAGGGCATTGTGAGACTGTCATCATGAGTTGGACGGGGCACGTCTCGTCGTCCAGGGGCGTTCCCCTTGTACAGAAAAGCATGGTGAAACTTGCTATGTTTACGTTGGGGGCTCGCTGGAATCCGTGCCTTTGGACTAGAGCAGGAACTACATGAAAAACAAAGATGAGGGGGAATAGGCTCGGCACTTCAACAGCATGGCAACCCCTAGGCGCAGTACAGTGCTACTTACCTGGCTCATCAAGGGCAGCAACAAAGGAACTGACTCGGAACAAAAAGGCAGGATGCAGGATCACAGGATGCCAGGTTCTGTACTAGTGTTCGGCTACCTAGCCTAGGCAAAGCGGCTTTTCGGGGATGTCTCCGATTTTGTTCTTTTGTTGTGCGGAACTCACTGACAGAACTCTTTCTACAGCCTGGTTTTTTGCGGACAACAAACAACAGCCAAGCTATAGAGAAGGAAGTAATAATGTGGATCAAACGATGCCAGGCGTCGTGGGGTCTACAGGAGACTACCATGAGTACAGCGTGCGAAATGGTCTGGCCAGTTTGTACCTCTAAACAAAAACAGCGACTATAAGGGTACAAATGTTGCAGAAAGACGATAAAGTACTTGAAAAGGACGCTTCCTGTTGGCCGACCCTGACATGCGAGGTGCCGAGCTCTAAGCTCGCGAGGGGCGTCCCCCTATGGGCTTCGGTGCAAAAACAAGTATGAGAGCCGCACACCTCCGTTGCGAAGCATGAAGAGGCACAACCGGATAAAGACCATTCACCAAGCATGCGAAAAAAGTGGGGAGAGGTGTTTGCCCCCGGCTGCTCGAGACGCTGTGCTTGAAAAATCTTTGCCCGGCTCTCAGTCCTGCTCGTCGTCATGGTCGCTCTCCGGAGTGCTATAGAAGGCTGCGTGCAACCGTCTTCGTCTGTGAGAGGACGCTCTTGCCAGCCTTGTCGATGCCCTTGCCGGTCTCGCGTGCTGCCTTGGGCTGCGAGATCTGAAGACTTGAGTTGGCGCCTCCGACGGCGAGTTCTCCTCGTGTCCTTCGTCGGGGTGCTCCCCGGCCGTTCCTGTAGCCTCGCCGCTGTTGTTGTCCACGAGGCAAATGGGAGAGCCCCATAGCGCTGCTGTCCATGCGAAAAGCAAATGGTGCGCTTCCGCTAAGACGGCCGCAGTCTGCTGTTCAAGGAACGGCATGACCCTCTCCAGGATTTGCTGGGCTTGCAAGACTTGATAAGGGGTGGATTCCCCTATACCATGTCCTTGGGCTGGATCGTGTCCGGCATGTTGTCCTGGGGCCGCTGGTAGGAGAGGTGGATCACTAGGTCGCGTTGTAGGCGATGGCAGGGCGATGAGCTGGTCCAAGTAGGAAGCAGTTCGGTCAACTGTAGCCAGCAGTGTTTCTGCTGCATTTTGGATGGCTGCAGTGCCCCCCTCTTCAATGGCTAGGTCGAGGAAGGTCGCTTGCGCAACCGCATTCTCTTTCTCTCTTTCTCTCTCTCTCTCTCTCTCTCTCTCTCTCTCTCTCTCTCTCTCTCTTCTTCCTCGGGGCATGAGGGGTGTCTGAAGCCCCTCGGCCTTTGCAGGCCCCCCCCCGATGTTTGTGGAGCTTTAAGAGGAGTTTCTTTCACCAGGCTTGAGGGGCGAACCCCCGCACTGTATTAAGTGCGGTAGGCTAGACTACAGGCGTTTGAACACCCAGCATCACCAGTACCAACACATTACCTATGGACTAGACTTGCCGCCGCCCCTGTTGTCCTCTCTTTCTCCGGGCCTGAGGGCGAGCCCCCGCGGGAGCCGCCCGTTGGTTGGCTGTGTGCATGTGTATTACACGCAGCAATGCGAGCTCTCCTCGGGCGACTCTTGGCATCAACCGAACAGTTTCTCCAAAGTAAAAGTGTCTAGTGTTAGTACGGTCGCCTCGTTGCCACCTGTACGTCGTGGGTGTTCCACTACTGCCCCGAAACTCGGGTTGGCACTCAGAGGAGGCTGTCTACTGGAGTGTGCCCTTTAGATCGCAACATGCTTTAGTCTAGATTGTTCTGCAGGGTCCCACTCTCGTTGCTATAGGTGCACTACTGCCCCGCCATCCAAAACAACAGCCTAGTATATGACTCTGGTGCAGAACACAGGGTGCAGGGCTCCACTCTTCCTAGTGACTGTTTTGTATTTCTATCGCCCCGTCAACTGGAAAACACATCAGTGCAGGAGTATGGTGCGGATCACAGGACACAGGGCTCAGCTCTCCTACCTTATGGCTACGTTTTGGCTGCCCCGCTTTGTTTTCCAACCTCTCTCTCTCTCTCTCTCTCTCGCTCTCTCTTTCTTCTGCAGGGCATGAGGGGTGTGCAAAACCCCCGGGCCACCATGGCCCCCCAATGGTATCTCTCTCTCTCTCTCTCTCTCCCTCCCCTTCCTTCGAGAAGATTCAGGAGTCTTATTTGGCCCGCTTCGTTCCTGCTCATGCAGGTGGTACGCAGCCAAAACCTCATGCTAGACCCTAGCATTGATGCATGTTCAAAGTGGGTATAGTTGTACATATACACACACACATATATATATATATATGCAGACAATAGCGTCCAACAGTCCTTCTCAACTTACTCTACTGCTCCTTGTGAAGTGAACTATGCAGTCAGGAGCGATTTCAGGTCTAACATCTCCGTTCCTTTGACTTTGACCACCATAGCTTAAGCCGAACAGAGAGCCGCGCGGCAACAGGAGCACTTATTCGGCCGCCGTTCCCGCTCTCGCTTCGTCTTACGAAGCATCAGACTTACAGTTGACGATGGGCCTGCAGCCCGACAGCGTGTAGGTTATTGATTTGAGCCTTGAAAATCCTAAACCTTCCCAAGCCCATAGAAGCACTCGTGGGCGCCTGCCCGGCAGCACAGACAGATCTGATCAGCGCGAAGTAGGTGAAGGAGTCCCACGCGATCCCGGCCTCCGGTAAGGCCAAGGTATTATTCTGGTAGTGGTAGCAGGAGCAGTAGTAGCAGTAGCAGTAGCAGTAGCAGTGCAGCGCAGTAGCCGTAGCCGCAGCCGGAGCCACAGCCGCAGCAGTAGCAGCAGTGGCAGCAGCACTAGCAGCAGCAGGAGCGGCAGCAGCAGCAGCAGCAGTAGCAGCAGTATCACGTGCAGCAGTGGCAGCAGCAGCAGCAACAGGAGCAGGAGCGGGAGCAGTAGCAGTAGCAGTCGTCGTCGTAGTAGTAGCAGCAGCAGCAGGCAGTCGGTCAGTCGGTCAGTCCGTCGCTCGGTCAGTCAGTCAGTAAGTCACCACTAAGCAGTAAGCACTGGTCTTGGCCACGCCTCATACTAACACTTCATGTGTGGTTTCATCTACTCTGCCAAGCTCTCTGGCCGGGCTTTTGTGGCCACTGAAACAAGCACCCCGCCCAACACCACCGACAAACTCAGAATACCGCTCAGCTCAAACCCTGCTTCCATCAGACCCGATGCCCCAATACGGACCCCTTATGCCTCCCGCATTCGGTTCGCCACTCCAAGTGCCAAAGTCATCTGCCCTTGCAGGCCGTAGCACCTCGGCTGAAGAGAGACATCAGATTCTCTATGGTCAGAAGCAGGTTGGGTGCTAGGTGGTGGCGATCTAAACTGTTCTTATCTCAGGGTGCTGATTGGCCACAGGCTTCTGGATTCTTGTCTGCTACCGGTGCAAGTATTCAGCTCACCCTCATGCTTTCATTATCGCTGCAATCTGCCGCAATTATCTTTCCGTCGTCGGAGTCTTGCGATGGAATTCGGCTGCATACTTTCATGCACCTCCTGCCACACTGACAATACAATGCTAGAAAAGAAAACGACAACCAAAACGTACCAGGTTGGGAATCCCAAGATCTCCAGAATCTCGCATGGCTGGAGATAGGGCGGCTCAAAATTAAAATGCGCTTGCACTGTGGGCCTTGCTCTCTTCCCTTCCACCTTCAAAAGCAATGCGTCATACATTATACAAGCCCGTCAATTAGTGATTTCATGTTGCCTCCTGTTTGGACGCTTTGTCGCAATGGTGATAAACTCACTCGAGCACAGGTGGATGCGTGCACCTTCCTGGCTGGTGCAGAACAGGGTGTTGACTTGTCACAGCCTGCTTCTGCCAAGAAGCTTGATAAGCTCGTTGTAGTTGGACGTCTCCTTAAACCGCAGATCACACTCAAGCTTTGATCTCGCAGGGTCCAGCTCTGGGAAGCTTAAGACATAATTAACCAGCAAGACACCAGATTCCAACGATACGCGCTGACTCTCTGTTCAATCATGACCGAGCGCCCAAAAAATCGAAGTTGATTAGTTTATTATCGAGCAGACAGAAGCCCACGACTCTTAAAGTTCTTTGGTTTTTTAGTGAAATGGAAGTAGCCAAGGCGTGGTTGACAGGAACGAAAATGATATGCAAAAATTGAGCATGCCATGCGCACAAGAGGCGGGTGGAACTCCGATCTGCTCCATGATTCGCAGAAGCTGCCGAACGTCAGAAGAAGGATCCATGCGCGCAAAGCAGCACTGCTGGAGGATGCAAAATGTGACCTGGTGGGCTGTAGCAGACACACATCATCGGACGCAGTTCTCGGCTCTCTCGGAAACAGACCACGACCGCGACACGGCAAACTATATGGTCCTGTTTTCGTCTTGTGGCCAGCAAGACCAAACAAGACTGCTGTTTTGCCGACTCCGGCTGGATCAATCAAGACAAAGGGGCAGCACTGGGTCGTACGCCGTGCTGACGCATCGTCCCAAGGACGGTGAAGGCCTCCGTCAGCCGACCCATCCTGTTGGCTTCGGGCATCTTCAGGAGCCCCCAGGGAAAGCAAACTCATCATCAGCATAATTCTAGCATCGCAGCAACAGCTAACAGCTCCATGTGCTGCGAGCACAAGCCCGTCCACCGCCTGAGCCACCTAAAGGGCACTTCACTGCCGTCCACTAATCTCGGGACGGCAGGTTCCTTGATCTTTCCGCAACTGCCACAGGAACGGGCAGTTGTGACGCCAGCGAAGGGGAGGATGATGAAACTGGCTGCTGCGTTTTTGTAGGACACGAATATTTCTGGTTGGACCTGGGACCGGTACCACCGCTTCGACTCTTGCACAGACTTTGCAGATCCTTCGCTGCCAACAACACCATCACGAAAACAACATCAATAGCCAAGGCAGCAGCGGGTCGAAGACCGTGGGAACCCGAATCGCGGAAACTCGACACTCGTGGTTCGCAAGCGCTCAGCCCCCAGTCGCCCTTTTTTAAGCCCAAAGCCTTCAACAAACCGTGAAGCTGAAGCCCAAGCCCTTTCCACACTGCGAAATCGGCCACACCATCCAAAGGCCAGCACTGGACAGTCCTACCAGACAGTTTCTTCAAAGCTCTTTCCATTATTCAGAGCTCCCGCATAGCGAGCCTCAGGTAGCCTGCCATCAGCGCTGAGTATAGTTGGGCCACGTCCTGGAAGCGGCGATGCCCTGAAACCCTCTTAGGGTCGTAGCAACAGAATTATGACCATAGCCGATTGTACTGGAGTTTCGGAGAATGGGTCCCCTCATATGGAGCCTAGATAGTAGAATATCCGTATTAGGGATCGCCGCGCAGGATGCCGCCGTTGCTTCGGCTGTTCGGAGGCTACAAGCCTTGCACCAGAAGGCGCACCACCCGACAGCCACCCGACAGCTGCTAATCAGCATAAGATGACTCAAAGACTCTGCCGTTTCTTGCAGAAGCTCTGAAAACAGTCGTCGTTGTCAACCCAAAGAGGAGCCGCAACATCGGCCGAGCAGCATACTCTTGCTGGAAGCGGAAGTTCACCTTCTGCCTCTTCATCAGCATTTCGCCTGTCATGCAAACCACTGCTTTAAGGCAAGGGTGTGTTGCAATCTTGGAGACGTGCCCGGAGCAGGCCCCTGGCTGTGACTCGATTCAGCGACCTGGCCTCTGCGAAGGTACCGCTTGGCCCGATCCAGCTGTGGTGGATCAGAGCTCGCGCAGACCGCCACCATGAGCAGGAAGTATCTGTAGCTTCGGGAAGTCCGCCAACAAGGGGCTTTATCCTAGAATTGGGGCCTCGACTCGAGTAGGCCCAGCCTTAAAGTTGCATGTCTGAACGGTTCTTTTGCCAACATGGACCCTAAGCCAGTCCCTCCCCTGCAGCGGCCAAAGACCGGCCAACTTACAGCATCAAACCCGAAATCCCAAACCCTGCAACCCTGCAATTCTGGTTTCATGTCGGTCCTTGTATCTAAGGTCGCACAAGAACGGGTGGCAATGCCGAACGAAACCACATGTCATTTCACACTGTTCTTGACCAGCCGCACACCATCTGGGACCAGGCCTCTGGCCTGATCAGATTTTTTGACACTCACACTCGGACAGAGCCTGGCAAGGTCTGTAGCAATACTGGTTCGTCGACGCATTATCTGCTACAATGGATCGGAATAGGGGCTCGCGGCGTGAGATTTGAAAGCCGAATGCTTCACCAAGGCTTCAACATGCGTGCTGGCGAGGCCTATTGATGGTTCCAGCGGCAGTATGGGCAAGGTTTAGTTTAGACGCTCCTCTTTGACGGCGGATCTTGGGGCCAAGTCGACGGGGGTGCCACACTTTCCTTGAACACAAAAACATCTGTCTTGCCCCTCGAGTGTTGTCTATGCCGCCACCTCGAATCAGAAACGCGTTCGTACAAACATGCAAATCAGCCGCCATCTCGCTCTCCCCACCTGTATTGTTTCTACCGTTTTTCTATGCACATTACCGATGATCTACTTATGTTGTTCAGCTTTGTGGTCAACTTCCTTTTTAGCCGCTTAGCCTGCATGTGTATTACACTATCTATGTTGATGTGTGCATGTAGGCACGAATGTGCAGATGTGTCCGTAGGTAGCCTGCGTGAGTAAGATTAAGTTCGCGTGCACGCATGTGCATGTGCTTGCAACCAAGTCATGCAGCCACAAGTATCGCTACAGTAGCTACGGCTACGGCCAAGGGTCCGCCATTCGGGACCAAAGACTGGTTGCAGTGCTCAGTCCTGTCGGGATACCGTTCTTACACGAAGGCTCGAAGGATCTGGGGAGCTAGTCGAGTAGGAATACGACTAGGAATTGCACGAATGGTATACAAACGTTAGCCAAATGACATACCCAGTACTTGCCTTTCAACTACCGCCTCTTCTTGCTTGTCACCTTATTCTAGTTGCCACTGTCCCTATTTCCAGACAAAAGGTAAGTGTGTCAGCTCACGGATCAAGATCGCTTACTTTTTGCTTGCGTACAATGACGATCATTTCCAGGCTAAGCGTCAAGGCTTCCTATACAAGTTGGGGTTCTGGAGCTTTCTAGTGCCACCTGCAGACGCAAAGCAGGAACGGCCCAAACCCCTCTTTCTAGTTGAGCCAAGGACTTAAGTTTCTGCTTCCTTCCTCTCCGCTGAATCACAGAAAGGTCACCAAAAGCCAAGGTTGGCTCAAACAAACACATGCAGTCTCCGGAAGCTTCTCTTGAAAACCCCTTCCACCAATGCTCCCTGGGCATCCACGCCCAGTTTGCGGCACTATTTTCTGCATGCATCTTGCAAAGGTGGGTATACGAGAGCTTGATGGCTCTGTGGCTGTGAGGACAACTTTTTGCGACTCCGGACCAGTACACAACATGCAGAATGGCTTGGACCGAACGACCGAACTACTCCGGCAAGTCATGCCGGCATGCAACCTCCGTCCCAAGGCCTACAAATAGTCCCAGGCACCTCGCTGCTTGGCCAACTCCCTGATCAGCAGATTGTACATCCGCGCATCCGGCTGCGGATAAACCGGATCACTTCCTGCAGGCAAGAGCATGTCAATACGACGGCGATCATTAAAAATACAGAAAAGGAGTATTATTAGCGCGTCTGCCTTCCCAGCCTGTACCCCTCCAAAACACAAAAACTCACAATTTTTCAGGCCCTGCAGGCCCCAGAGGCCCAGACGATACAGGCCTTCTGGGCACTCTCTAGGCATCTCTTGCAGGAAAAAAATTGAGCAGAGATCGCACAGATAGCAGAACCACCGGCCACCGTGAATCGAAGCTGGAATCCTAGGTCCTAGACCGAGTCAAGCTGGGGTCTCGGCGATCACACAAGGACTGTCCAGGCGAGGCATATGCGCACAGGTTCGTAGGGTGAAAGCTTATGGCGTTATGTTGTAAACATGTGTCTTGTTTCACCACTACTGTAGAAACCAATGAAAACCGAACAAAACGCAATACAAATTCCTGGACTGATGCGCACAGCTACCTGGCTGAAAGGGTTAGCTGCGTTACGGAGTTACATTCAGCTACTGCCTGCTGTGTGTGTGTGTGTGTGTGTGCGCGCTCTTATTAGGGTAGTTGGCAATGACTTCTTGGCGTCTCTGATTTCTGTTCGTAAACATAACAGCACTTGTTCCGAAGATGGTGATGACGACAACGGTGAGCATGAGGAGTTCGCTGATGATAATGACGCCGAGTGCCCAGAACTAAGTGAGAAGGCTTTCTGAGCGCCTGATGCGAGGTCTGTGTCTCCTCTGCTCCCTCAATCCGAATCTCTCTAAGCTCTCCACCTCTTCGCCTAACCCCAACTTCGAGCCTGAAACTCCAAACATGGGCAGCTCAAAGAGTGAGTAGTCTGACCGTGAAAGCCTACACTCAAAGCCCTCACTTTCCGTGCTACTAGTAGTCTCTGTGCTAAAGGCCATAGGTTCGGGATCCTCATCATCTTGGCCTCGCAGAAGGGACTCTGATCTTCAAAGTCTCCCCATTTTTCCCTCCTACCTGGCAGGGACGAAGCCCGCATTGCACCCAAAGTCTCCCCATCTCTGACAAGCTTCCGGTCTCCATGGTCTCCACAATACTTGCTGCCTCTTCCAGTCCTGCCAACGGCTTCTGCATGTCAGAGCTTTGGCTCCAAGTTGGCGGACTGGGTAAGCCAGTGTGCAAGGTGAGGTCAAGCTGAAGGCACGGAAGCGTGGGCCCAGACTCCAAAGACACCAACCGAATGGCAAGAGACTAGCATGGCCATCCGACAGGGTGCAAGACGCCAAAGGCCAAGCTTAGGTGGGATATACATGGTCTCAATGACCTGGGGATTGCTGGCCTCACCTTGGATCCTTTGGCTGGTCGAAGATTCAGGTGCTTCAACAACACCAGTTAAATTATGAAGTTTCGCTGCCCGTCTGCGATTTGGGACTCACGCGAGGTTCCGCTTGGTCTCGCTCGTCTTTCTTCCGAAATACCCATCTGGTGGCATGGGCTCGGCATGGGCTCAGCAACCGTGCGTGTATACTCTGCAGTTTCCAAAGCGGGCTTCTGGATAACGTGCTCCGAGCAGGCTAGACTGCTAGTCCTTGCTGGAATCCACAGCAAAACTCGTAGTAAGAGACCCATTGCTGGTTGATGAATCGCGGAACCAGGTTCACAAGCAATGTGCACCAAGGAAAAAACTCGATGTCCAAATCCCCCGCAACGGCGAAAGCCCAAGAACAAACTCTATGCAAAAAACCATTGAGAGCAAGGCAAACCCGGCTGACCTCGCACCTCACTGCTACCTCTTCAGCCAAGGAACGACCGCTCAGCGCGAGCGCGTAGACTACCTGCGCCCAGTCCTCACGACGTCTCCTACTTGCCTTCTGCATGGCTCGAAAGCCAACTCGACGGGTCTCGCAAGACATGCTATTGAAGGTGTTGCTGTTGATGGTGGTTGTGCTGCTGCTGTCGAAGCCACTGACGACATCGTTGTTGGCGATGATGCTCTAGGTGTTGTTCTTGATGGCTCATGCTTCCTACTGCCGCATGGGCAGCAGTTGCAAGAGCCACTAGTCACTAGCAGCAACAGTAATGTTTTTTCAAGGGCTTCTATCGCCTGGACGTAACACCCTGACGTGGCCGGTACATAACCAACAGCTGCTTCCCGACCGAGAAGCACTCACACCAAACAAGGACGCCAAACCCATCGCTGGGGCACTTCGAAACCCCAAATCCACGACCCCGGGCACGCGAGAGCTGCGGGCTCCTCGACATCGGGCTGCTGGGAGCGGAACCAACTCTCCACACGGCGGTAGAGCTGCCTGGCTTCACTTGTGATGGCAGGCATTGCTGCGCCTTGCTGGATGCTGCCAAAGGCACACCAAGACCTCCGCGGATATCTCGCCGAGCCTCATGGCCTTTCACGGGGAGCCGGGAGGTCTTCTTCGTGTGGTTCGCTCGGACTTGAAGCTTGTCGGCCAACACCACAGGCATATCTTTGTCTCTCAAGATGATTGCAGCCCGTGTAGCCCGCAGCAGCAAGCGAAAGCGCTCTGGTGTGAGCTGCATGGTCTCCTCCAATCGACGGCTGAGCTTGGCTGGGATTGCTCGCCCTGACATACACCTATTCTCAAAATGCTTCTGGCTGCGCGGGTGTTTAACGCCGTCCGGAGAGACACGCTACTCGGACAACGTCTGCAGAAATGGCAGCCAGGTAAAGAGGACGCCACAGTGCTGCCCTTCAGCATCACACTGCCAAGCCGGGTCACACATTATCTACTGTAGAGAGCCACAAAACTTCGGATGAACAGCCCCACCCCACCCCTGTGCAACAGCGGACCGTGCACAGTCCTGTTCCAGGATCTGCAGCATTTCGTGCCGAAGCCCGCCTACAGCCGATATTCAGAGGCAATGACAGTCTTCGTGCGACAGACGCTTCCACATGACAGCCCGAAACGATTGAAATTTCGATCCGCCAAAGCAGATCCAGGGCCACGCTTTCGGAGCTGCACACAGCGTTCATCATGGCTTGATCACGTTCGAAGCGGTGGAACCAGTCCATCGAGTCCGAAGCCCAGGAAGCAGCGATGAGTTACTTGCAGAGCCCCTCCCGTGAATACAAACGCTGCCAACTGAGAGCATGGCTGCCGGCTGAGACGAACAGCCGTACCGCAGCGTCGTGCCTTTGTTTGACAAGCTGGGCTGGGTTGTTTCCTTTGTTGCCCATTTGGAAGCCGTTTGGCTGTGTTTGGCTGCAGCACCTGGACCTGGTTTTGCCACACAGCATGAGAGCGATGCACAAAAGCAGTCGATAATGACCATGAGCAACGATCCCAGAAGTACGGCAGGTACTGATACAGGCTAGTGGGGCCCTTCCCTTCTGCTTCAGAAGCACGAAAAACATTGGCTTTAAAGCACCTCGAATTGAGGCCGACCCTGGAAGCCTCAGGTTAGCAGTCCCTTCCGGAAGGATGAACCTGCACTCGCTCTAGACTGCAAGGCAATGCAAGGCAGATGAAGGAAACTAGGTCTAAGCCCACGACGAGCCCCTTGCCACCTCTTGCCGGAGTCGCTGCAGCATCCTTGCTCTGGGTTGGGCGGCGTGTGGGTTCTGCAGCTATACGTAGTCCTACAGCTACTCTAGTCCAAAAAAGGGGCGAGAAGCAAAACCTCAGCGACAGCATCAAATCCCGGTACAGAAGCAGCGTTCAGCACGGGGTTTCGGTTCACGTTGAGTTTTCGGGCCGCAGTGCCTCAGTATCAACATCCAAACTACGGCCTCAGACATGAGCTGCAACACCCTTTGTGAAAGGCAACAGGAAAAGGAATTGCCGGCTCTCCCAGGCCAGGAAGGATAAGACCAGGAATTGCCAGGAATGAAAACAAGAGTAGCCCAAATGGCCATCTGGAGTTTCGACAACCAACACACACACGAATAAGATCTCTGGCCAACTGGGCCCCCTACACTCTGAAGTTCTGAAGTAGAAAGTAAGGCACTGACACTCTCTCTTGCCCTGAACTGTCGGAACAAAGCCTGTCGAACCGCAACTCGACAAGAAACTTCCTCAACTTTCTTACGTCCGTATATATATATATATATATATAACCCTGACTGTTCAGACAAGCGCACGCAGAACGCTGCGGAGATCCAGCGGCCTCTGCGCGGACAGAAAAGTTTATCAAGCAGCTACGGGTCGCTTACACAACCTAGGTTTGCAGCATCACGATTCTATTTCGGTCTTGCATGAAGACTGAACGATAAGACTACATGTATATAGTATCCGAACGATGGTTCTCGATGATCAGAACAGGCACCGTGATGTTTGAAATTATTTTTTTTGCCCGGCAGTCTCCCTCAAATGAGCTTGTGCTTACCGTCGGACTTCGGCGGTGATGCAGAGAGTAGGGACCGACAGCCAGGCTCGAAAGCCTCGTCTCAGCCAGAGACTGAATGGTTCCCTGCCCTGAGCTCGGGACCTTGCGAAGAGAGGCCACAAAACATCCCAACCCTCAGAGGTTAAACTTTAAACCAAGTTTGTTGTCATGTGAACACCTGGCACTGAATCCTCAGCTAAGGGATGCTGTGACGTTTTTGTGACCCTGGCCTCGTCGGGTGGCTCATCGCCAGTATCTACCTGCACCACTGTCGCCCAGAACTACAGAAATCCTCAGTTGTAGGGCTTATGCTTAGGATTCCATTCGTGAGTTCACGCGGCGCTGGGATAGTTCCAGGGAATCGACGCCCGGGGTTTCCCGTGCCACGGCAGGCCGCTTCTTTCGGCTGAGCTGGTCCGACCCAGACATCGAAACCTGAATCCCGCTACGGAAAATTCAAATTCAGCACTTCTGAACAGGACAGCACCCAACTGCACTTTCCTGCCGGAAACAACCTAAGCTCCGAACTTTCACTTCAATCTGCACGAGGTCGAGTAAGCGACACATCCCGCTGCAAATATTGTGCACCAGCACGTGCAATACCTTAAGCAAGTGAGTAGATGGTGGTATCTTATGTACATACATGCCGACATATGTACCCACACAGGTACTACACATGATACTGCCGCAGGAGCCTCTGCGAGGTCCGCAGCGCCCCGCGGCGCCACAAGGACGACTGGCGCGGTGCAGTATATGTACGACGACACTAGTCTCGAAGCGCTCAGCCCAGAACGTCATCAAACGATACTTGGGATCTGGCAGGGCTTCAAATGCTTGGGAAGTCGATACTTTAAGGCTACAGCTGCGGGCCTTCAACAGCCGAGCCTCGACAGAAGGCAAAACGATGTACTGCGCGGACACTGGATCTACGATTCTTGAGGTGGACTAGGTGGACTTCGTGATCACATGATGTCATGCATGGGGCGAGCCATGTGCTCATAGAGACATGCACACAAGCAGCAAAAAGATCGACGGAAGAGAAGCTGAGAAGAGGAGGGAGGGAGCGAGAGAGAGAGAGACTGAGAAAGAGAGGCAGACAAAAAGACGTGGAGAGAGCGAGAGAATGAGCCACAGAGAGAGAGAGAGAGAGAGAGAGAGAGACAGAGAGACAGAGAGAGAGAGAGAGAGACCGGCAAACTTGCCTCGCTTGTCCCTTCGGCGCAGTCGGATGGTGATCGACTCGGGGGCCTCCACAGGGGGTTGGGAAGCCGTGCGACTGATTCAACAGCACATGTCGCTTCTGAACACACGCGCATCCCGCAACATCGTGTGAGCTAGAGCTTTCGGCCGGGATGCATGGGAATCCGCACTCTTCTGCAGCTTCCTTCCCACCTCTGCATAGAACTTGAGGAGCTCATCCGGGCCGTAAGATGCATTTTCCGGATGAGTTGCCGACTGGAGATCGGATGGGTCGAATGCACAACGTGCATCGAACTGAACCGCGAAGATGCCGCCGCGCTCCATGAAGAACAACGAGAATAGCCAAGGCATAGCTTTGAAGTCTGCCGCCCAAGACTCTGGAAACAAGGAGCACGGAATCTTGACTTGAATCGATTTCGAGAAAAACCGCGTCTGATATGCACGCGAGAAAAAGCATGGTTGGCATGCTTTCTTTACACCCTACCTGCCAGGCCATGCCTGTCTCCGAACAACCTTTTACTTCAGCAGGCGGCCACAAGATCAGAAACGAACCGACAGTAACCAACACAACAAGTACCGCTGTCTTGAATCACGTACAGACCTTGGAAGATGGAGCCTGGCTGATCCCAAACCATGGCCCGTACTAAACTCAACCCTACGAGCCCCGAGTGACGAAGTCCTTCAGCATCTATCAAAAAGGCAATGCCTAAGTCAGTCTAAGTATGACGTGTATTTTCAACAGGTGCAGCAGTCATGCTGCATCTCAGGCTGCCAAAAATTTTGCCTGCGTCTATGTATGTAGGTATGTATGCACGTGTGTGTACACGTGCATGTGCATATTTATGTATGTGTGTACATACCTAAATCCACATGTGTCTATAGGTATGTATGTCTATACAATGCTATACACATATACATTTAGTGATATTCTGCCTGTATTCCAACACGTTTCGCCAAAGCCCTGAGGAGCCTCGACCCTCCGCGCAGCGGCCCCGGCCAGGAGGCCGGCAGCCACGAGCCCCAAAGGACCCCGGGAGGGCGCAGAGGGATGGAGATCCTCCGGTTCGTGACTCACTCCCGAGCTTTGGTTTTAAGGCTTTGTCTCTTCATTCTAACAGGGCTTGTTGGATTGTTGGATTGTTGGATTGGCTGCAAGGGCCTTCGGGGTCAGGATGCAGCATCTCCGCAGCGCAAAAAAGCTTGGGGATTCTTGCAACTTAGATGACTCCTTAGAGCGAGTTTGTCGTGTTTGTGGACTGGCTTTTGCAGGAAGACGGATCTAGTGTGTACAAGGTCTCGTGGTAGAGTTTCGTCCAGGCTCCTGCGGAGCTGGAAGTTATTTTCTTGAGCTTTGTCCACAACCCCAACCCTTACGGCTCTTATCAAGCCCTTAACCGTTCAAAACCTCAACTTTGAACTCTCAGTTGATCTTCAAGACCGGACCTGAACCGGCGCGGGGACCCCCTCGCGACACCGGCGAATGCCCCGGTCACGTGGCAAAGGCCTCAGAGCACGGCCCTTTTCAGGCCAGGTTGAAACTGTTTTTCGCAATGCTATCCTATGATTATCTACTCACCTGGTCGTGGTTAGATCTTATCATCTTATCTTAGCTTTTAGAGTGTTGTCCTTGACGCGAAGGCTAGATTTGTTATTTGATTTCTTCCCCGGCATATTGCTCGATTCTTGTCTATGCTGTACTAGACTAGACTGTTGATCAGAGAACACGGATGCCCTGTTGCACCCTGCACGTGGGATCGAACCCGACTATCCGGCTATCATTCATGAACAAGGGCGGATGGATAGCCTGCGGGTATCGGAGGCGGGCTTCGATTCGACTGTGGGCTGCGCCTGGGGCTAATGGCACCAAACCTCCCCAACCATTAACCTCATTAAACCTCAATCCAAAGCCCTGCGATTGAAGCTACAGTTCTGCTGTTACCTTGAACCGAAGCCCGAGCCACGCCAGGCCCGGCTGGAGTGCCAAGACCAAACTGCGAGTCTGAGCCATGGCAGCTGACAAAGTTCCTCTAAGGTTGATTGAGGCTGTACTATTTTTTTTGTACTCTCAATGGAAGAAGGCAGCGGAGATTATGAATCTCTATACGTGGAAACATCTTTCCCGTGCATTTGCTCTAGCGCAGAACTGGATCTTTCCCAGACATGTTAGGTGGCCGATGTGGAGAGGTCTCGACATGAATTCATGTACGTGCTAACGCTTCCATGGCTGGTTCTGGCTTGCGGACGGTGGGTTTCAGTGCGGATTTCACGGTATCGGCCAATGTGAAAATTTCAGGGCT